GCTCGAGCAAGCAGCGATGCCAGCCCAGTGTGGGGAGGGGGGCTCGGATGAGCAGCACGGGCCAGCCTTGTGCGGGGTGGGGGGGGGGGATGGGAGGCGGCTTGGGTTAGCCCCATGCGGTGTTCCGTTTTCCTTTGGGGAAATATGGTCAAATATGGTCACCCTACCCCCATCTGCAGCCTGAGGATGCAATGCCACACAGCAAAGGCCTTTGCGCACATGGGACTATGCTAGCTCACTGCTGCCCCGGGGGGGCCTGGAAGGCACCTGGCTGCACCCCCCAGTCCAAGGAATATTAACTATGGAGTTATTGCACCTTCCTCTGTGGCATCTAGTGCTGGCCTCTGTCAGAGACAGGAGCCCTGGGTTGGATTGACCTTGAGTCTGACCCAGTCTGTTCCTACTGTTCCTATAGCCTGTCCCACCCCAGGGCTCGCACATGGCAGTGGGAGAGGAGAAGTGGGCCTGTGAGGCCTCAGGATGGGCCAACGCAGCTTGCCAGCTTACCATAACTGGCACTTTCTTGGCTGGCCAGCAAGCCATTTAGGTGGCCCATCAGCTGCAGCATACATAGCCCAGGACAGGACAGGACACCGTTTGCAGTAACACCAAGAGGGACAGCCCTGAGAGCAGAGACCAGACCAGCTTCCAGGGACACAGATCCCCAATTTATACAAAACAGAGACAGCTGAGTGGCAGCAGTGGTGATTGTGGGACAGTTAGCTTCCTCTGAGCAGGTGTTTGGCTTGGGCTGAGTCTATTCCCATGCAGACCGCGGCTGGATTCTCAGCACACTGGTAAAGCCCTGGCAAATTAGTCTCTGGATCAAGGACACCTGCAGCTCAGACCCCATGTGCTTTGGCCAGACTTCACTGACTGTGTAAGCCCAAGCACAAAGCTATACCTGGCCTTGGAGAGAGAAAGACCTCCCCGACTTTGAGCAAGATGGCACAAACTCTCCCCTTTCCTCCCCTCCAGGTGAAGACTGGAGGACACTGGGAAAAGGAAGCCTTCCTGTTCCAGGCATGCCGTCTCTGCCATTGCCTTGGGCTGAGGCAGCAGTTTGCCATTCATGGAAGCAGCTAAAGCCCCCTCCTTCCATTTTTATTGTGACACTGGCTTCAGCTGGATTTAGCAGACACATTTGAGAAGGCTGCTTTCTGCTAAGCTCTGCAAGATCCCCATCAGGGACTCCCCAGGCTTCCGTGTGCACCTCTGGACACAGACACGGCACACTCTGTTCCTAGCAGCTCCCCCCACACCAACTTTCCAGGATGGGAATACAGGCCAAGAGGAACCACTTTCCGACACAGGCTCTGCTACTTGAGTAGCAGAGCATGGAAATCAGACAGATCTTATAACAGCTACAAACAGGTAAAGTGTCATGTGAATTCAGTCTTAATACAAAACAGAATACCATAAATCTGTCTCCAAGACATAGAACAGCTTGACATAGACCCACGCGCCACTGTTCTCACATCTGCCTGCAGTAGTTGCCACTGCAGCATAAGGACTGTAACGACAGCAGATGCTGAAGCACAGAGGCGGAAGCAATAATCACAGTACAGCTCTGTTGGCCTGGGTTCTGTTAGAAACACAAGGAAGAAGCCAATGAGCCAAACCCACTGAGACAGAAATGGGATTGTCAGCTGTCGGGGAGGGGCTCGCAGGTTGCGAGAAGGGAAAACTGAGCAGAAAGACACAAGCTTTGCAACAAACCACTGGTCCTTTTCCCTAGTACAAGTTCATGGCAAAACAGAGAGGTTAACCAGCACCATCCCGAACTCAGAGACTTCTCTTAGATAGTTCTTCATTGCGGAGCATCTCTGTGCTGCTCGGTTAACGAACAAACGGGACCAGCTGGGAAAGCATTCGAGCAGAGCAGTGGGAGCAAGGGTGATCCTGACAACAAACAGCTCCCAGTGGCAGAGCTCAGCCTAGTCTGTTACCCAGAGGTTCAGCTCCTCAAGGGCAGAAGGTTACACTAGAGCTACAAAGATCCAGTGTCTAGCACCAGTTATGTGCACTGCATGTTGGATTTTCAAACATGCCTCAGTGACTTGCTATAGGGCTCGTGCTGCTAAGTCACTTCTGAAGATCCTTCCATACACCCGCATCTCCCATGACAAGCAGGGGCAAGATCAAGCAAACCTCGCCTAAAAATTAGGAGGCGGCTTTGGGTCCATGAGCAGGACATAATGCAGCAGAAAAGGCCTGGCAGAACCACTGAGCCACACATGAGTTCCTTACCCTAACCAGCTGCTGCCTCCAACAGAAATCACACAGCACACGCTAAAAGGGCACTAGGACTACAGGAGCTTAAGGGAACACCAGGCTCATGTTCAGGGGGCTGGCTGAGAGCAGACCACTGCAAAGGCTTGTGTGTGATAAACTTCAGTGTGCTTTATATTAGCAAATCAGAGAGCAGAGTAAGCATTCAGCTATCTCCCTGGGTCACCTTTATTGCCCTGAACAGAGGAACAGACTTCTGAGAAGCTAACAGAGGCTCAATCCTACTCCCACTGCAATCACTGGGAGTTTGGCTGTTTACTCTGTGGAAGCAGCACCAAAGGACATACCAAGGGTCCACAGCTACAGGCTAAGGCTGTCCTACACAGATGCATTGCACAGATGGGCAGTTTTTTATTCCAGTTGTCTTGTTAAATGTGTAACTTATTACTATTTAAATTCTTAAATACATACCAGAGATACACAGGAAGTGAAAGTGGCCCAGCCAATGTTACCATGACAACCTTTATTCTTTTAATTGCCTGCTTTTTGGCAATTTCAAAAAAAAAAAAAAAAAAGAGAAGAGAGAGAGAGAGAGAGAAAGGAAAACTGGTTTTAATTTCCCTTTTGTTTTTGCTTTTTAAAAAAGACCCAAACAGAAATTGCCTCTGCTTAGTAGCTTCAGTTCAGATGGGATTGTCTGTGCTCTTAGAGCTTGTTTAGTTTTAAGTCCCCCCTCAATCTTAGGAAAGATGCCAAGCCTCAGGACAATGTGTGACGAGCTTCAACTCTTCACTGTTTAAGTTATCTGCAGGAGAAATACCTAGTGGTCAGGCTAAAGGAGACCAGATTTCAGGGGTTTCAATTTGTATAGGGAGGTGCTGAGAGCCATTGAACCAAACTGTAAACCACTTTAAGCCAAGGAGTGCAGCAGCATCTCCAGAACCCCTAGTTCCAGCACCTATGCCAGATTTATCACACTGTTATAGCAACTGCAATGGCTGACTGAACTATGCTCCCGTTTCCCAACGGAGTTCTCCTTTCGGCTGAGATCAAGCATGGGAAGGAGGGGAAAACGGAGGTTACAACAGAAATGGTTCTGTTCTGCAACTTTAACTGGAGTGTTTGCTACCATATCAGCAGCATCAGGGTCCACTTTTACCAGACATCCAGCCCAGTTTCCAGAACCAAGAGATTCAGACAAGCAGTACAAAACCACCAAGCCTTCTGAGGAGTGCCAGCTCTGCAGCTACCCAGTACAAGTTTACACAGAGGCTGTATGTCCTTAGAGGGGAGAATCTGCAGCGTGGCATATAGAAACACATCTGCTCCTCTAGGGCCTCCAGTCGACCCCTCCCCATTATGTCATGCCTTTGGGTAACCACCCACTCACAGCCCCATTTAGACCTTCATCCCCCAACAGCCCTCAGAACCCTATTCCATAAATTCCCCTGCTCACTGAGGTTCCTAAAGGGCTTCTGAAGGGAGTGGAGTCCAAGTGAGAGTTAAACAAGACCATCCTAGCACCACGCAAGGTTGTTTCCCAAAGTTCAGTAGGGCCGCGGTTCTTATGTTTCTCCAAATATTTACATTTGAAAATGAATTCAGATTTTTTTATCCATTAATAGCAGTATGGAGAACGCAAGTTGGAAAGCTCTGCATCTCCAACTCCTGCCTCGCCTGCACCCATCTCCGAGAGCTTGGGTAACCCACTCCTTTTCATTTTAACTGGGTGGGGACTCTGCAGACAGGGTTTTCTTTCTATTGCTTTATCATGGCTGGGTGGAGTGCTTTGGAAAGGCTGCGTTTGAACCTGCCTAGCTCAGAGCCAGCACTGCTTGTCTTGGATTTGCCCAGGGCATCTTCCCAAAGGCTGATTTGAGTTTGGTGATTGTGCTATCTTCCATTCCCTCCCCAGCACCTCTCTCACCTTGCACACAGGGCAGAACTGGCAACATTTAGCCTAGTGAAAACACCTGGGGTGATGACTCAGATAGCACTAGGAGCACCCTGTGCGATGGAAAAGTAAAGGGCTACAAGACCTTCCTGCTTTCCCAAACGTCCCAAGATCCAGGACCCCCTGAATTAGCAGAGCACAGCGAGGCCTTTACACTCAACTCAATGGCATTTCTCCATCTGTCTGCAACATGATAACTTTTGAAAATCTCATCCGGGCTGTTCCAAAATTTCAGGGAATGTTTGAGGTATCAATGGGCAGAATCCTACTCATTTTGGTGAAAATCATAAAACCGGAAGAACCTGTTTTCCACCAACCTAACTTATGATTCTACAGGTTGAGATACAGGGGCGAGGCAGTGATCTCCAGGTCAGGGCACCAGAGAGCCATCTCCGCCCGCAGCACCACACGGGCACTTTGTGGGCCTGGTTTGAGTGAAGATCAGGCTGCTACAAGCCCCTCACTCCCTACCCCCCCCCCACCACAAACCAGGTGTCCAAGCTAGGCAGTGCACCCACAGGGGGGCAGGGAGGGGGAGGAGGTGGCTGAGTGTCCAGCTCTGCCTACATAATCAATGAAGCACGCAACCCTCTAGTATATTATTACAGCCCATTCTTGGCTCCTGGGATGAGACCCAGTTATTGGGGTAATAGCCCCACCCTGGCAGGCTTCCTAGACATCCCAGCAGAAGCAACAGCATCTTGTGACTCTCCATCATCTCAACCTTGAGACGCGCTCACATGCCGCTGGGACGTTTTCCCCCCTGACCCAGGGTGGGACAAATGCATAACTGATGCTCTAATGTTGCTCTTACCTCAGCATGGCCCCCGGGGGTCAGGGTCTTGTTGCAGCGCTCGCACTTCAAACAGAACTTGTGCCAGTCCTTGCCTAAAGAGGTCACTTTCTCGGCTGCATGAAAGACAAGAGAAAAAGCAGGGTGAGCCAGCTTGGCTGGAGAGAGAAGGCAAAAAGCGAACATCTGCAGAACAGGGCCCGGCAGCCTCACTCCGAGCTAGAGGACCAGGATTCAGGTATGGTGGAGTCAGCATCTAATAGCAATTACTGCTCTTAGCAAACATTACTAAACATACTAACTTTGTCTGCAGCACGAATTAATCACCTTGCTTCTCTTCTCTCCTGTAATATGACCTATTAGGGAAGCCTCACCTATCAGGGAAAGTTAAAGGACAAGACTGTGGAGGAAAAATTCATTGTCTGACTTTCACTCCAAAAGACCCCACAGCTCTCTACCAACTAGACAGAGGCACAGGAATCACTTGGCTCACTAACGAAATGCAGCCACCTCCAAGGTGGAAGGACAGCAGTGGTTAAACTGCTCAGAGTGACACTGTCATAACTATAAAGGGAAGGGTAACAGCTCTCCTGTGTACCGTACTATAAAATCCCTCCTGGCTAGAGACTCCAAAATCCTTTTACCTGTAAAGGGTTAAGAAGCTCAGGTAACATGGCTGATA